CTAAAGTGAGTTGTATCAAACTTAAGGCCATAAAAAGTTTAAATACGTTAAATGGTATAAGAAATGTCTTAATTATAATTTCAAGATGTCTTACAGTTGGGGACGGAAAGACAAGAGTGACGATACAGCGGATTAAACTTCAAAAGGCAATGATGTTGAATAAAAATAAGCGCTGCACAGAGCTGCTTTGTGTACAGCCGTTAACGGGGAAACTGCAATATTTCAGCGCTCCTAAAGAATGAATTTGCTTTTCCAATAAGCCTTACTTGCCGTTTATGGTCAGATCAATGGAAATATCAAATCATGTTTTTACGCAGCAAACACAGAGTTGTAAATAAGAAAGAAGTTAATGTGCCTTCTAAAAATCTAAACAATTAAGACAGTAATAGTATATTTATACGTTTTATTTATGCATAAAAATGGTCTAAAGGCTGAAATGCTGTTCTATAGGATTTTTGTTTTTGTGAAAACCTGTATCTGAACTGTAAATCATGTAATTTTATGGCTCAGTACTGCATGTTACCACAGACATTGTCCAAGCCCACTCATACGGTGTTCATTTTACTTGTGCCGCTCTTAAAATGGGTCATAAATTGCCTTACATTCATTTCTAAAAATTCAGCAGATACCCTGTAAATAGTGAAATAAAATTCCTTCCTTCATATTTGTTGATATTTGTGTATTGAAAATATTTTTGATCGACATTTAAACTCCTATCTGATTATATATATATATATATATATTATTATATATTTTTTTTTTCAATATAACACTAACTCATCAAATCCACTCCCATTAATTTACCTGGAGAAATAGGGAACAATAGAAATATATTTCAGGCTGTAACCTAATAATATTTTTATTATTAATTAAAACAATATTTCCAAGAAAATGGATTCCATTTTAAGCATTTCAATTAGAGAGAAAAAATGCAGCATTGCGTAGTTAATTTTTTTTTATAATCCACTTATTCATTGAAATATTGTGATAAAAGAAAACCAACTAATTGACATCTTTACAAATGTGAGTTTATTATTACATCTAACAAATTAGGGTCACAAAAATAAACTTGAAGGGAAACCAAGACTCTTTTTCTGACCCCACTTGCAGATGTGTTTGTTTTAAGCAAAAACTCACTTCATTTTGATCATTTATTCTGAAAAAAAATCTTGAGTCATTTTGCTTTTCAAGTAAATGTGTATTGATTTATGAATGTTCTGATATTTGATGCATAAGATGTAAGTAAGATGCATAACTTTAATGCAACACAAGTCACTTTGGATAAAAGTGTAATGCGCCAAATGCATAAAAACGTAACGTAACGTAACAATCTTGTTCGTAAACGATCTTGTTCATGCACCATGACACTGCAGATTTAAAGCGAGAATCACCCAAAGTTTGTGCAATTAAAAACTGAAATAATAGTTCCACTGAATCCTAAGATAATAGACGGTCGCTTTCTCAGATGAGCATTCGATGTGAAGCTCCAGATGGGACGTGACGGGAGGAAGATGGATGGAGGAAGAGGAAGAGGAGAGGTGAAGGAGAGCAGCACTGCTCTGTTTTACGGCTCATTAAAGAGCAATTACAGTCACACACATGAGCTCATCCACACACACACACACGACTGACCTTGAGTTTCCACAGCCCAGCCCTGACTTCCCCAGCTGAGGCAGATCGTAGCTTCATTACTGACCCCAGTTCTGACCGCAAAGTGTCATATCCTTAAACTCAATCTGAAGCGTTTCGTTAAAGCGGTCAATCTTTAACCAACAACCTTCCATATTCTCCCAGTTCCTCAAAGTATTGCTGCTGGTTAGGTTACAGGTGAAGTTTCGTATGCTTGTTCTCTACTGCATGAACATTTTCTACAAAAACAATGTTTTCATATGACTAAAGATCAATTACTGCTGCATTACAAGCTCTTAATGCAGTTTTCCATGTGAGATTACCGGAGCATATCTATAAAAGCATAATATATTCTGATCAAACTCTTCAAAACATTAACTCTGATTATTTACACAGTGACAAATGAACGGGACGGGAATAAAAGAGTTCAAATTAGTTGTGATAAATTGTGAATATATTGTTATACTGATTTTCATAATTTTATTAAACAGTAGGGAAAGCATCACTGAATTTATCAAATTTATTGCTAACAATATACCTGAAGAGATGAGGAGAAATAGGAGTCTGTTACAAGCTGTTACCTAAAAATACTTTGATTACCAGTAAATTAAAACAATATTTCTTAGCATTTCAATTAAACAGAGAATTTTTTTTAAAAATATGACAAAAAAAAAACCTGTGTAAAATGATTTACAAATCTACCAGTTTATTGTGATGTGTGATCAGTTATTAACATCTTTAAAAGTGTGAGTTTATTATTTTATTGTATAAATTAATCCATACTTAGATTCTGTTTAAAGAATTTCAATTCACAGAGAAAAAAAAAATCAGAATATTTCTTTTAAAAAAAGTCTTTAAAAATGTTTTGAGAAATTAACATCCTGTCAAATCAAAGTAGAAAAATCATTTAAAATCCATCCATTTTTTTGTGATATTGTGATAAAAGACAACCAACTAATGTGATTAATCATTAACATCTTTAAAAAAAAAGTGAGTTCATTATATATATTATATATTTTATAAATTGTCCCATTATTAGATCCCATTTGAAGCATTTCAAGAAAAAAATACCAGAATTTTTAATGAAAATTTTTTTTCCAAAAATGAGCATCCTATCAAATCAAGGCAGTCATTGTGATATCTAATGTTTAAATGTTAAAAAATGTGAGTTTATTATTGTATCTTATAAATGAACCCATAAATGAAGGGAGATGAAAATGTGCAGTGTAACACGAATTACAGTCGACAGTTCTGGAGATTTGGCTCTTTGCTCATTCGCTGGATCTGCGTGATAATATCTGCCCTCAGGCCTGATGGAGATGACCAGCCAGTCTGACTTTGCTCAGGCTGTGTGACGCACAGCAAGGACATGTGTGTGAAAACACGCTAAAACGTGTGTACATACACACCATATAACACACACACACACACACACAGTTTCTCCATGTCCTTCCTGTATGTGCTGGTCACATCCTGCCGGATCCTCCGATGATTTTCTCCTCATCTGTCCTCTTCTCTGAACCCAAACCTCACACTTTCCCTCACACTGGTTTCCGCTCTCTCTTCCTGTCAGTCTGTCTGGACCGCGGGGCGTTTTCTCTCAAAGCATCAGACTTTTGACAAACAACATGAAGTCTGGACCAGTTAGCAGCTTATTCTGATCATTTACACATTATATACTATATTATATATTATTAACACTATCTCATTTTAATTCACCACTTCAACAATTGAAAACCTGCATATATGTGGCCCTGCAGCACAAAAGCAGTGTTAAGTCGCTGGGGGATATTTGTAGCAATAGCCAACAATACATTGTATGGGTCACAATTATAATTTTTTCTTGTATGCCAAAAATCATTAGGATATTAAGTAAAGATCATGTTCCTTGAAGATATTTTGTAAATGTCCTACCGTAAACATATCAAAATGTACATTTTGATTAGTAATATGAATTGCTAAGAACTTCATTTGAACAACTTTAAAGATGATTTTCTCAATATTTAGATTTTTTGCACCCTCAGATTCCAGATTTTCAAATAGTTGCATCTCGGCCAAATATTGTCCGATCCTAACAAACATACATCAATGGAAGTATTATTTATTCAGCTTTCAGATGACGTATAAA